TGGTTGGGAAGCAATCGGATAAGATGGGTAGAAACCGGGAAAATACGAGGGAACTCGTCGATAGGGACCGGGAATATATGCTAATCAGATTACTTTGTATTTTCACGGCATCTACGGAAGTACTTGATCTATATCTATCATCCAATAAACATACATTACGGTCACGATTTTGAATAAATTAACTTTTGGTTGTACGCGCGAAAGTGACTTGAAAGGGAGATCACTCTTGTTTAGTTTCGTTTTCATGTCGTGTTTACGCTGGCAAGTAAAGCTGAAGTGAAACGAATGCATGTTTTCTTTAAACAAATAAATATGTGTTTTTTTAGGTTTGCAGCCAATAAATCCCAGTCAGGGTACAAACTGCAATGAGGATGTACAATCGTACTTGGAGATAAAAAATCGTAATAAATACGCCAGGTAGACAGTAACAAACATTCTTCTTCACAACAAATATCTCTAGAATAACGTTTGATGACCTAACGGTTAAAACTAGAAACTGTCAACTCCAGGACAGTAAAATTACAACGCAATGGACAGTTTGTTTGCTAAACGTGAACAACTCCATATAAAATGTACAGATTGATTTTTCAACGATAATTGAAAAAATACTGACGCATTAAAGCCTAAACTGCGAATGAAGACCTACAATAACAATATCTAACAATTGACAGCAAAAAAAGGTGTGTCTGCTGATGAGGATGTCATATTTCGTGTTGAAACGATCATTTTCCGCGATCTTGTCTCGATACTCAGGAGGGTGCCCTCGCTTAACGCGCATTTGTAATAAATATAGAGGGTGTCAAGCAATTACAGAAAGGTCTGTAACTTTCTAAATCCTTCTGCCAAATGGCAAAACCTGATATACTTGCAAAATAATGCGAATGCGAGGGAAAACTTACCATTACTCTTGCGCCACGTGTTCTTCTTTCACTTTCCAGCGAGGAAATGGAGTTGCTTTTGGGGCAACTCCACATTTCGCGCGGACAGCGCTTCCACCTTGCGAATTAGGATTCGATGACATTCGTCAAACAATTCGTCGAGCCTGACCACCCGATCCCGTTAGTCGCATTTTACGACAAGCATGGGTAGCTGAAGACCAATTCTAACAAGAGGAACACATTAAACGCTTGTTGGGAAAATTGTTTTCTTGTTAAGCAATGCCCCGGTCTCCTCCTGCGAAAGTCTGTGGTGTTGTTATAGAATGTTCAAACCTCCAGATAACTGGTAGCCTGGGACTGTTATCTCAAATAATAACTGTTCCACAGGAATTAGTTTATCATTTTTAAATTTAGATTTAAATCTCTTCCTTGGATGATCGTGGCTTACACCATGCAAGTGTCAGTCGTTTAAAAAGTGTTTCCACTTGCCCCAATGGCTATCTATCGATGTTCATGTTGTTAATCACTGGATTGTCTGATCAAAACTTGATTATTTACAGACAGGGCGTAGCCAACCATTATTAAAAACAGCCCGGGCTTACACATGATTGTGAGGGGCGGTGGGGTAGCCTAGTGGTTAAAGCGTTGGCTCGTCACGCCGAAGACCCGGGTTCGATTCCCCACATGGGCACAATGTGTTAAGCCCATTTCTGGTTTCACCCGCCGTGATATAGCTGGAATATTGCTAAAAGCGGCGTAAAACTAAACTCAGTCAGTCAGTACACATGATTGTGACTAAAAAGGTTGGGCAAGCCCTCAATACTATCTAAATATAAAGCTTTGCAACCTATCGGGCTTGCACGATAAAAAAGGCTTTTTAAGCGCCTGACAGACCGCCGCCATATACTAGTAGATGGAATATTGCTGAGTTTGGCGTTAAACAACACCAACCAAACAAATGGTTATCCTTTAAAGATGCAATCCCTGCACACGGTTACCTAAACCATTACATGTAAAGTCCACAGTTTGTTGTAGGGTGTTTATAAAATACCAGTCTGGCTGCTTTCTCCCCATGTATTTCGTGAAATGTACATAGTGTTGGCGAAAACTATTCTTCTCAGCGCCATTTACAGCAGACGACAGATAACAGAGTTATCTCCCTTGGCCTAATTCATACTGGAAATGTAAATATCAGGAGATGTAGTCTCACATAATTATATCGAACTGGAAAGAAGCAGATACAATGTCTCGATCCGCTGTTTGGAGGCGGGACCAAAAATATACCTGACACGTAAACAGTATAAAAAATAGAATAGGATTCAGCCATTCAGAATTCGACATTCATGGTAAGAATTGCAGGATATATTATAACATTATCTTGACAATCAAATATAAACTGAATTGCTGACCCCGCAGTGTTTTATTTACTCCAGATTGTTAGTTTTCATAATTTCAGTCCGACATGAAGTGGTTGTGGTAGCACTGACTGCTGCGTTTATTGTTTTGCATGCAAAGTTTGATTTTTTAAAATATTTTCCATTCCCATCTGTTTATTTGACTCATCCGTATAACCAATGATAACAGCGAGTGAGATGTCTTTAGCGCCGATTTGGACAGCATTTCAGTCATATCACGACATACTTTCTTTGAGTATAATTTTGAGTGAGTGAGTTTAGTTTTACGCCGCTTTTAGCAATATTCCAGAAATAACACGACGGGGGACACCACAAATGGGTTTCATACATTGCACCCATGTGGAGAATCGAACCTGGGTCTTCGGCATGACGGGCCATAAGGCTACCCCCGCCCCGAGTGGCATTAAGAAGTTGGTGTAATGAAGATGGGGGATAGTTCTATGGATGAACAGCTTCTATAATAATAATAATAATAACGGGCATTTGTACTGCGCACACTCCAGACATAAAGCCTGCTCAAGGAGCTACAAACTAACGTTAAGAGTCTGGAGTAGAGGTTTGAATTTGATAGGAAGGTAAGTAGAAAGTCAGATGCATTGAGAGAACAGGTGTTTTTTCAGTCTTGATTGGAACAGCTCGAACGTGGGACAAAGTTTAACGTCAGATGGAAGAGTATTCCACAGCACTGGGGCGATGTGAGAGAACGTCCTGTAACCACAGGATTTTAGTCTGTAGGAAGGAACTGTGAGTGAGTTGCGGTCACTGGAGCGAAGTTGTCGAGCTGGTACATATGGAGTAAGTAGGTCACTAAGGTAGTCAGGGCTGGTGTTGTTGAGGCATCTGTATGTAATGCAGAGCACCTTGAACTGTATTCTGGCTCTGATGGGCAGCCAGTGAAGTTCTCTAAGGATGGGTGATATATGCTCATACTTCCTGGTTTTCGTAATGATCCTAGCCGCTGTGTTTTGGACCATTATTACAATGTTGCAATAAAAGAGGCGGTTGGATAGCCTAGTGGTTAAAGCGTTCGCTCGTCACGCTGAAGACCCGGGTTCCCGGGTCCCAAAATGGCTACAATGTGTGAAGCCCATTACTAGTGTCCCCCGCCGTGATATTGCTTGAATATTGCTAAAGGCGGCGTAAAATTAAACTCACTCACTCACTTATAATATAAAGTTGTTTATCCATACAACTATCCCCCTTGTTCATAGCAGCAGCCTTGTGTCGGGGTGAAAGCCCGAAGTGATGCATCGGCATGTCTTCCATACCCGTGAAGATCGGCATGGTTAACACTGACAAGAAGTCATTTACCTGAGATGAGTTGAAGAGTGAGTGATTGAGTTTGGTTTTACCCTCTTTTAGTAATATTCCAGCAATATCACGCCGGGGGACACCAGAAATGAGCTTCACACATTGTACCCATGTGGGGGATCGAACCCGGGTCTTCGGCGTGACGAGCGAACGCTTTAACCATCAGGCTACCCCACCGCCCCATGAGTAGAAGAAGGCACTGTCTGAAGGACTTCAAGTCTCACACTGACACCAGTGGCCAGGATCCCAAGGTACTCTCTATAGGACTACACGTGTTATATCTCCGGGTTACAACTGATCTTCAGTGACCAATGCTTGTTGATCGTAGAAATGCGACTAACGGGTTTGGGTGGTAAGACTCGCTGTCTTGGTTGACACATGTCATCGTATCACAATTACATAGATCGATGCTCATGTTGTTGATCACTGGATTGTCTGGTCCAAACTCGATTATTTTCAGACCTCCGCCTCATAGCTGGAATATTGCTGAGTGCGGCGTTAAACTACAAACCAACCAACATCACTTCTAAGTGTACCATTTAGGCCACTCAAGTCCCCTATTTTATAAAGAATACGGTTGCGAATTATGGGAAGACTATGGTGGCTGATTAGGGCCATCGCTTTCTCGCCTTAAAATTCGGAGGCGAGAAAGCGATATCACGAGACGAGAAAGCAATAGCCTAATATAAGATACTGGATTACACAAACTTGCAATTAAAAAAACGATATAAAACTTCAAATATTTATTCACTGCAGTGGATACTACGACCTTCTGTTCTTCGTTTCACGATATATTGTGACTTAGAAATGCAATTTTAGTTTTGTCCCTAAAGGTCATTGAACAATTGCTGAAGACAACCATTATACAGGGGGGGGGGGGAAGTTACTAAAGGTCCTTTTTATTATGAATCTGGCATGTTGTATTAGAATTAAACAACATGCAATGCGTGTATTAACTGGTACATTTAAAGTAGATTGAGTGTGATGCTTTACGTCCAGTTGACAGCCAAATGCATATATACCATAAGAAACATATTTGGGAGACCAGCGAACATATGCAACAGTAACATGAACGGGCGTCGTTTCTAAAAATAGATCTGGTGCTTTCCCATTGCTAAAGATAGCTCACGTTGGGAAAATGTAAAAGACGTTAAACATATATTTAACGAAATAGAGCATCCCAAATGTTGCCTCGTTCGGAAATCTCACTTTAAATGCCTACGATTTACTGCAAATGACAATATATTTGTTTAAATGTACATTAAGATGATTATGTGCACCATACAAGTTACATTATCGTCGTATCCAACAACTGTTTCGTGATCCTTTTTCAGAAGCGATAACAGTTTTCGATGTTTCCAAAATATTAATGGCTGACGTGGCGAGACGTGGATCCGCCAAGTCGAACTCGTGGAAAATCTGATGCAAACGCTTGACGTTCAATAACAAAACCAGATATAATAACTCCACGTAACAGACAAACTATTTTGACCCGGACATGCAGTGATATGTACATTATAGACGACGCTTCTATCGAGCAAAGTGATTTTCTTTAAACATTTCAAATATTGCTCCAACGCTTGTGAGTTTAAAACACAACAACCGTTACCTCGCCATTGTATTGGCTTCTTGATGTGAGTACAATTTTACATGGTCGTTTATCAGATTAGGGCTGTCTTGACATGCTAGTTCTGTTTCGGGTAAGAGATCCTCCCGTTCCCCCATCCCAAATAATATTTACAAATACTAAAATTATTCACAAAACTTAACACAACTTGCAATTATATAGCTACTAGAGAACTCACAAAATGACTAAAAGTCCAAAATTTAAGTTAGGGTTAGGGTTAGGTTTAGGGTTGGGGGAACGGAAGGAACTCTTTCCCTGTTTAGTGTTTCAAAATTTAATGTTCAGCGTAAACAGTATTTGCTGGAAAATGTTTGTCTCAGAATTCTTCCCATTGTGACCCATTGCCTAAATTTACATCGCCTCTTCAAACAGTAATATATCAAACATACTGTGATGATTGTTTTAAATGTGTGATGTTCCAATATGCCTTCCTTGTGAAAATGGTCAGTTAGTTTTAAGATTTTAAATTTGGCTGATAAATCAATATATACGCACAATTAGCATGTTAGAATTGTCGTTTGTTCTTAACAGTCGGGCAAGGTAATGGACGTGAAGGTGGCATGATTGCCAATGTACCTCAGTGGCTTATGTTATAACATCAATCACTGGATTGTTTGGTCCTGACTTAATATTTGCATCAGGACAAAAACATTTCGCAATATTGTTTCACGAACTAATTATCATGATTACAGCTTCTTTTTGCATCACATTTTTTTTGCTAGAAAGCATGAGTCATTAACCATCATTTTGTTTTGTCTTTTCAGCAGCATCAGTCTCACCCCATAAGTGATATTACGCCACACATCCTCTCCAATGCCGATGTTGCTGCAGAGCATCAAGGTGGTCAACCTGATGGTGCTGATGCTGTTCCTGGGATGTGCCTTCTACAGCCTGTGTGTGCACAGCGAGACACCCCCAGGCAAAGAGGGGGCACTGACAGTAGTTGAGACAGATGAGGATGACAATGGTATTATTGCTTCTGTCAGTGATTATTGTCAATGATTGATCAGTTATGCTGACTGCAAGTTTCTGTAATTGATTGTGGAGAAGCCTTTTATAATCGTCAAATTACATAGATCGACGCTAATGCTGTTGATCAGTGGATTGTCTGGGCCAGACTCTATCATTTTCAGACCGCCGCCATATAGTTGGAATATTGCTGAGTGCAACGTTAAACAACAAACAGATGTTATATAATCATGCTATTAAGTCTTTCTTAGACCATAATCTTGCTGAAGACAAAATTACCATAAACAACAATATTTAATTCATAGCACCCTTTTACACAAACCTGAGTGAGTGAGTTCGGTTTTACGCCACACTCAGCAATATTCCAGCTATATGGTTACACAAACCTGAATGTTTGACAATTTCAAATACTGATCTCACTTCTTTAACTTAGCAAAATAATCTGTTGCTGTTACAACATGTTTGTCTATATATTTCAGGTTGAAAGCTTGATAAACATACATTTACCTTTGAAGACTTGCAAGATTAAGTGACATCAAAGCAGCTTGACTATTGATGGACTTTGTATGGGCTTTTGGGGCGGTGGGGTAGCCTAATGGTTAAAGCGTTGGATCGTCACGTCGAAGACCCGGGTTCGAAACCCCAAATGGGCAAAATGTGTGAAGCCCATTTCTGGTGTCCCCCGCCATGATGTTGCTGGAATATTGCTAAAAGCGGCGTAAAAACCAATCTCAGTCAGTCAGTGTATGGGCTTTGCTTACCATTAAGATTAATTGATGTGAGATTGGAAGTTGTTAATGCTGTACCATGTTTTCAGATGGAATAATATCCATAGAAGAGAATGGAGAGGACGAGGGAAACAAGAAAGTAGAGGAATATGATGTCTTCTATCCAACTAGAGAATGGCAGACAGTCAAAAAAGGTAGCATTTAACTACACTCAGTTCCATCAATTTTCTTCATAATATTAAAGACGGCCTAAATGAGCTAGTGGCAAGAGTATTTGAACTCATGGCCGTGTCATACTCAAAGACGTTAAAGAGATGATATTTGTGTGCTTGGCACACAGCATTAATAGGATAGAAAAAGGACAAATCATTTGGGAGTCATTACACTGTGTTTGGGGTATCCATGGTGGAACTGTAGCTTGGTATCAAGTCTTAAGCATTGATAACCATGGTGAAACACTGTAGAATGTATGTTAAACAAGGATGTATTGTATCTATAGTCCGTTTGGCTCAAGAGCGGACCGATCAATTGCAATCTAACTCGAAAACTAATAAACATAAAATACTCAATGAAACACTGATCATAATCAACACGTCAGACCAACTCTGTGAGTTTTTTGCAGAATTTATGTCCTGAAAATAAAAAGTTGTTTAACAAACTATCATTAAAATAATGACACAGTTCACTATTTGTTACGCGGAAGGAGGCAGAGAAAGGACAGCCAGGGTGTGTGATTGAGAAAGGATGGACGCACCAGCACAGGGTTAATGAATCAATAACTTTGTCGGCACTTGTGCACGTGCTTCTCTAACACCTGGCTGTCCCTTTCTCTGCACTCCTCCCTCGTAAGAAATAGTGAACTGTTTCAATATTTTAATGATAGTTTCTTAAACAACTTTTTTGGTGGAGTCCAGAAAATTTTCAAATATAAGAAAGATGTTGGGTATTAGTAAATGATAAACATGTGTACTATTTATATTTATGTGGCAATTTTGTACAATGATAAAATTTGCAATTCATCGGTCCGTTTCTGACTCAAACGGACTGTATACAATGGTACCAAGTGGAATAACTTTCTCTTCATCATCCTGCAGGCCAGGCCATACCAAAAGGGCTGCATGTGAGGATGAACTTAGAAAAAGGTGTGACAGAAGCCAAACTCAATGAAGATGAAGGTGGAAATAAGTTCTGGCAAGCCGGATCTCATCAAGGTGAGGAATCTAACATTTATATGGACCTTATCAATACCATCCTCGATAATCTCCAGGGTATACGTTCCGATAAAATCTCCACTATACCCAGGATGCATCTACNTTTTTCAGGCCCTATGTTTTATTACCTCCATTGGCTGGCTTTTTATCCAATCATCAGGTCTCACGCCAGGAAGTTGAGCATACCAATCACAACTCACTTTCTCTTCTTTATCTAACCGATTAAACTTGAACTTGGCAACAAAATTGTTGCAGAGGTACTCCTGAAAGAGGTAGAAAGAGTTCTTGCATATATTTTTAAGGTGCCTCAGACCTAATTGTCAGTTTGTCTGTAACGATTCACACCCTAAATCTGAGTCAGCTCCGCTGGTTTAACAAATCTTTGTGGCTGCCACTATCTTTCTCAATGTTGACACCGGCAAGCTCTCGGTTTGTAACGGTATTTTAGCTTGATTGGCTACTGTGAGAATGAGGAGCCAGCAAGAGAGGAAATAATATTATCGGTTGCGAGGCTTTCATAGATGCATCCAATGTACAAGGGATATCGTGAACGATACCCTGGAGATTATCATCGAGATGATCAAGGCATTGATTGCTATGAAATTACTTGTCTTTGTAATTCAGTATCTTTCTCACAGTTGATTGTTGAGCAAATGGAGGCAAACTCTTATGTTGTCAGATTGTCTCCTTCTCTCACTTTGGTGTCAACAAGAGTGAAACACCTTTTAACCACTCCAGGAATTATTACTGCAACCGTGATATGGTCTCTCTGCTGCAACCTCTAATCCCAAGTGTTGTGAATTGTATGTCCCTTGAGAATTAGGAGATGTATATGGTTGATGTTATGACTAAAAACATATTACAAGATAGTGGAAAGGAAAGAGAAAATTTAAACTGACAAAGTCAAAAAGGTGAAAACAACAATTCAGTTCTGGCAATAGTATTTAGTGTCACCATGGTCATACAGACATCCGTTGTTGGTCAACATGATGGTGAGTCACCATGGTCAGGCTAGTTCAACTTCATTCATAGAATCATAGCGGTTGTATGCTGCCCATGGCTAAGGGTGAACGTGAACCATGACTTGTCAGGCAGTGATAATAGAAAGAGCAGTGAAGGGGCTATCACTATAGAGAGAGCCTGAGGAGAAGCCTGAGCCATAATGCAAGAGATGCCAACCCCACGCTTTTAGGCGTAATTATACATACGATTTTGACCATTAAATTATCGCTATTACACTTAATACTCAAAGTAAAATTACTTTTTCATACTTGTTTTTCGAAAATCAGTTAAGTGGATAAATTTTCACAGGGAAGTGTTTCACACAGGTACAGGGTGCAGAAATGGCCTTGCACTGATAGGGAATCGCTACTCTTAGCATCGCAATCATTCCATTCCAATTAACTTGCAAGTAATTAAAGTATATTGAGTCACATGACCAACAATTTTCGATGTATGGAGATTCATAATGATTGGTCACATGTGTTTCTGTCTAGAATCTTCCTTTCGTGAAAACGTGTACCATGTTGAAGCGATCGGCAGACAAGTATTACACTTTTTAGGTCCAAATTACACTTTTTGACCTCTAGTATTACACTTAGGCCCCAAATAGGGTTGGCATCTCTGCATAATGTATTTATCTATCCCGGATTTTCAGACCTTCCAGCACAGCAACCCTCTCTGAAAAATACTTTAAGAAAAGATATAAAAAATCCAGTCCGAAATGACATACTGTTTTTCTCACTGCGGTAGAAGTGGTCTAATGGTTGGTAATATATCCAGTCATGTGTATTTATATATTCAGGCATGGTCAACACTGACAAGAAGTCATTTTCCCGAGATGAGTTGAAGAAGGCACTGAAGGACTTCAAGTCTCACACAGACACCAGTGGCCAGGATCCCAAGGTACCCTCTATAGGACTAAACATGTTATATCTCCGGGTTAGAATTGATCTTCAGTAACCCATGCTTGTCGTAAGAGGTGACTAACGGGATTGGGTGGTCAGATTCGCTGACTTGGTTGACACATGTCATCATATCCCAATTGCGTAGATCGATGTTCATGCTGTTGATCACTGGATTGTCTGGTCCAGACTCGAAATTTACACTTACAGACCGCCACCACATAGCCTGACTGACTGACTGAGTTTAGGTTTACGCCGCTTTTAGCAATATTCCAGCAATATCACGGCGGGGGACACCAGAAATGGGCTTAACACATTGTGCCCATGTGGGGAATCGAACCCAAGTTTTAGGCGTGACGAGCCAACGCTATAACCACTAGGCTACCCCACCGGCCCCCACCACATAGCTGGAGTATTACTGAGTGTGGCGTAAAACTTCACTCACTCACTAACATGTTATATTAATTAATAATTTAATAAGTTCTATATAAACACACAGTTTTGTGTTTACAAGCTTCAAGGCAAAAACGTTTTAAATGATATATCTGTGATTCTCTGGTTATTTTGGTGTCCTTTGACGACAGGTTGTATATACTATGATTTATATCTTCTTAATGAATACTGTTGTTCCAGTCACAATGTAGCTGAAATATTGCCAACGTGACCATACATTTTAACTCACTCACTCAATACAAGGCAAAACAGTCGGTCACATAGTCTACAGCAGCCATAAGTAATATACCCCAAACTGTTTATGTCCTCAACTAATATGAAGAATGTATCTCCTTGAATATCTTGAAAGAGGCCGCTATCCGCTTTTGAAAATGAAAGTAGCTGATGGGCAGCCACACATGACAATAAACCATGAAAGATACTTTGTATCATGGACCATGATTGGTTCTTTATGTATTCACGACCCAAGGGCATAACTCTTATGCCTCCTTACACAAAGCTGCACTATTACAAATAATATCACACTTGTGCTAATATATGAACTCTACAGCAAACCTGAGCACTGATTACTGAAGCAATTTGATGTTTACAACAAGGTTTGAAACCTCATGCACACTTGGCAAGTAGATCAAAATTGAGAAAAGGTCTGTCATGCTTCTCTCAAGCCACAGTTACACAATTACAGCCAAAATGAATGAAACTGTCCCCATCTGAAACTTGAAAACACATGTCAACCAAGGGCAGATAACTCTAACCTTTTGTACATAACTATTCTAGAAATGTCGCTTGACAAGTTTTCAATGAGTCGATGACAGTTCTTGATATCTTTACCAGTATTGCACTCATTTGCTGCTATTGACAATTGATGCAAATATATTTACAACACTTTCTACTTCCACAAACATAAGGGTACAATTCGAATTGACAAGCAAGTTTTACAAACAGAATTTCAAATGTAGATTTCAACTTTCCATTAAAGAAATTGTTTTGTTGTGCATGCTTATATTTGCATGTATTAATTACACCCACAAAATTCTCACTTTTCAAACTCCATATGATCACAGGTGGTCGTAGCCCCTTGTGGTTAAAGTATTTCGCCACAGCTAAAAGACCCTTGCCATACTTCCACACATGGGTACAATGTTTGGAGTCCAATTCTGTGTCCTCTGCCATTAATGATGCTAAAATGGTAAAATTCACCACTCAATGGAGTCAAATAGTCCATGAAGAGATGCTTTTAACTTAGTGACTGCAACCTGATTAATCAGACCCCCATGTGCTTGCACTCATCAATACTTTTAATATTGTTGAATTTACTTTTCAGTCAGCAGCAGAGGTTACAGAAGAAGTTCAGGTCATACAATGATTTGAAGAAAGATTTTGAAGAGATGAATATCGCCATGAAGACTGGACGGTGAGATAATCAGTGATCCTCTGGAACGCTTCAAGAAGGTCGGTTCCGAGCAATCGATGCCAAGCCTGTTAATGTCCTCACAGAACTTGAATACCATCTTCATAGGTAAGACCGTGATTGCCAACAGCTCTTAATTTAATTTGTCAGTGGGCTTTTACTTAGTAATTAATACTGTAAAATACAACACAGTGTCTTTTAGTTGCGAATAATATAAACTGGAAGTTTACCGGCATTTTACCTGTTCAATACGGAAATGATACGTGACATGCATACGCTTCGATCTAAAACCCGTATTTTGACATGCATTCGAACACTTCGCAACACTCCGCAACTTGATTGTGGAAATGTGGTAAGGGTGGTGGGAATGATTGTGGTGAAAATTACATTTAACCGGATTGTTAAGCCTCTTTCCTATTTTATTTGTGCCAAATATTATTTTACATTTTACTCTTTGTCATCATAAAACAGTTTTTATTAAGGTGAATCAAGTATAGTAGATTTCTATTGGTGTATTTTGCTTTTATAAATCAAACGCTAACTCAATTAGTAAGTTTCTTTGTTAATAGTGTAATCATTCGCAATATATTGCAATACACATCACAATACATGCTTTTTGCATCGCAAACATATCCCATCAGAAAATTCTCTGCAACACCCAATTCTAGTGGGTTCATACGCTTGAGCCGAAGATTGATTTCCATGGAACATGATGTTCAGTGTGTAGTTCTGATATGGCATGTCTTTTGATCACTTCCCTCATGATCCCCTAAGCTAGGATTCAGACTATGATCCTTATTGGCTTAAAGGCTAAATCCACCCATCCCTCAGTAGTATTTTGCATTAGTAATAAATGCTTGCAACTAATAACCTTTTCCTCTTGAAACAGCTGAAATAGTGTTTGGTTCCTCATGCAAATTATATGTCCCAAGTGTTCAAAAGGCAAATAAGTTATTAATAGGTCCATTTGACCGACCATTTGGGATGAAATTGGATCACGCGGAGGAGAAACATTGA